ATGAACGAGAGTAACCGTGAGTCTAGGAAATAGCATTTTTCTGCATTTTGTAACTAATTCGTCATGGGCGGCCAAAATGCATTTTTAATGGCGGCCAAAGTTATTCCTGAGAATGACTCTTAGCCGCCGGCGGCCAAAAGCAATTTTTTTCGGCGGCCCGAAAAATTCTCGGAAATCACACTTGGCCGGCGGCGGCCAAAAGTCAATTTTCCGGAGGCCAGAAGTAATTTTCATAAAGTTATATTTGGCCGCCGGCGGCCAAGAGTGATTTTCGTCGGCGGCTAAACCGTCGGCGGCCAACTTACACTGAGCCATAATATCGTTGGGAAGTTATCAAGATCGAATCCTGATAATTTATCAACATTCAATCTTAATAATCATCAAGTTCTGGAAGTGGGTTTTGGTGGATCCTCAGGATCGACCAGAACTGCTCCCAGTTGTGTGAAGTGGATCTTCAGGATGGGCCAAGGGCAGTGTCAAACCGGATCTGGTACATCCTGAAGATCCACTTCCAGAACTGGGAGCAGTTCTGGTCGATCCTGAGGATCCACCAAAACCCACTTCCAGAACTTGATGATTATTAAGATTGAATGTTGATAAATTATCAGGATTCGATCTTAATAACTTCAAAACGATATTATTAAGATTCATCCGGTAACTTTATTATTTGAATATAGTTAATAACCTGATAAAAAGTTGATAGCGTTATTAAGATTTATCGGTATTATGATCGGATCTCAATAATCTCTAAAAATTATTAGAATGGTTATTAAGATACGAATATGGTACAGCTATACTGACATGAAAAACAAAATTCAGGCTGCCGTCGACGAAAGTTCAACGTTTTAAAGCGGGTTGAATTTAACTTTCAAACCATTTTGATCGATTCATATTCTGGTTTTTTTCTATTTCAATCATTTCATTTCTAATCAAATATTTTTTCTTATATTCAAAATATCCACAATATTCACCACTTTTTGTGATGTATGAAGCCCCTTGCGTCTTTCAATAAGAATACTTTCGAAATTAAATCAAATTAATAGGTAATTCGTAAACCCTTTTGTAATACTCATATTTCTAACGAAATTCATAACCATTCATATTCATATGAGATTCATGAATAAAAATAAATTCAATGAAAAAAAAATCCGAAAATGTTTAAATTTAAATTGCACAAAAAAGCGACCAATGGAAAGCATTGTAATATATTTTCCAACAATTTTTTCGTTAAATTTGGAATCAAGACAAGAGTCTGTAAACGCACCCATTTCCTTTGACGTGTATCGTTTGACAGTAGAATTTTCTGGATCATATTTGCGGCTACGTCCCACTTGCGCTATCGTTGTGTAAACACAATAGAACAATAGGCAAACCAAGCTAAGAACTAAGAAGTCTTAGGAGAAAATTCATGAAAAAATCCAACTTCAATTAATTCCACAAAAAAAGCATCCGTTGCTTCTGATGAAGACTATCAAAACATTGTAACAGACGGCAAAATGACGAGTGTCGATCGGTCTCACGACAAATCTGTAAGTAGTTTCAATTATGCTCTATAAGAAAAGTGCTAATGCTGGCTTAATGACACATATAAGGCTATAAGTAAGAAAAATCTAATTTAATTTGTGTCTCTTCAATTTCCAAAGGATTCTCACGACAAGTTTTGTTGGAATTGTCATCATAAATGCCTGAAAATCTCATGTCCGAATTGCTTTCGATCATTCCACGAAAAGTGCCTGAAATCGACCGATGCTTTTCGTTGGAATGACAAGGACAAGTCCCTGGTGAGCTGCACAGTTTGCACGGTCAAAGAAACGTCGAAAGATGCCTGTGTCGGCATGTAAGTGTGAATGAAAATTCAGAGCGATTGTTTTGGACAAAACATGACACTTTTTCACTTCCAGGCAAGGTCATCTGAAAATGCTGAAGCACACGATGGTCAACATTCTAAACAATCCAGACGTAAGTTAAAATCAATCGCTTGTTTTCTCAGACAATTTCTAATGGGAATGTATGGAATAGAAAATATTTGTTTGGAATTCTTGGTGCAGAATAGACCAATTTTAATCAAAAGTTGTTAACTGGAACTTGATAATTGCTTATTTGATTGCAGTTCCGCGTGTTCAAGGACTTGTCAGCATTGAAGAAGGTAGCAAATTACTGCGATATCGTCGTCAACCCAATCGATTTGGATGAAATTGATCGAAAGATTTGTCGTGAGCTCTACAATAGCTTCTATGCATTCCTCGTCGATATTGATTGCATTTACCACAATTGTTTCGTTTACTATGGCGGTGAGTATCAATAAGCTGATTCCAATTTTTTTTTCAATAAATGAAGAAGTGGACAATAGGGCAAATCAAGAGTACTTTTAACGTAATTTTTGCTTGTTTCATTTTTGTCATGAAAAAATCGAAAATACTCAATTAAACAGAAAAATCCATTGAATAATTCAATGTTAAATCATTTCAGAACGTCACGAGCTCACGGAAATCGCAAAAAGTTTGTTCAAATTTTCGAAGCTCGAAACCGAAGCCATTTCAAGTTGCGTCGAATGTTACGAGAACAAACATTTGTATCCAACGGAATGGCGTATGATGACATGCAACAAGCCACATTTGGTTCTATGGGCAAAACTCGGTCGATCATTAACCTTTTGGCCAGCTAAGAAAGGATTCACACATTGGCCAGTGAAGTTGATAAGCATCATTGGTGATGAACTCAAAGTCGTTTTTTTCGAATCATCCGAATTTGTTAATATTTCGGCACACGACTCTTGGATTTACTCCACAAAACATGCGACTGCATTGAACCAGCGATTCTACGATCCAAATTACATCTATTTTGCTTTGAAGGTAAGGCACAATTTGCCAAATGTTCAAATTTTGAAGATTTTTGGCACATTTCTTCATATAATAATATGCATTTTTGCCTGATGTTTGGATTTGATATCAAAAAGAACGTTTCCAACTCTTCGAAGCTTGAAAAATATCTCAACTTTGTTCGTTGTCCACAGGAGGTCAATCTGTATGGGAAAAATGTCGAAACAAAGTTCGGCCGTTTCCAGACTGATTTGGCGTGCATTAGATTCGATCGAGATCACCTGAATGATCACATGGCTGCAATGTTCCCAGAATACAATGGCACTTCATCCATATCCCAGTCACAAGAAAACCTTCACCAAAAATCGGAATTGCCAAACGATGACGATAAACCGATTCCTGAAAAGCGGCCACGAATCTCAGTACATGCAGCTCAACCTTTGATTCCAACTTTGCATACATCGATTGAAAACGATTTATCTGGGAGCATTTCAGATTCATTAGTTTGGGAACATTTCAATGTGAAGCAAATCATCGAGGAAGGCTTCAAGGTGATGAATGCCAATATGATGTCCATCATCGACAAAAACATAATGAATCTGCTGAACTCCAGCAAATCGAAATTGGTGCAAGCAATCCCGACAAATCGGCATGTCAAGGACATTTCCGCTTATCAAAAGAAGAATAAAGAACTGTTCGATAAACTTGAAGCGATGACATCCGAAGGAGATGAGGCAAAAAGCATGCTTGCCAAAGCAAAAGAAGGGCATGCAGCGGAAATTTGCACGCAGCAAGCAAAGCATGAAAAATTGGCTCAGAAGCTGCGAAAGGTGACATCGGAACGGAATGAAGCAAGAAGTGAATTGGCCAAAGCGATTCAAAATCGTGCCAAGGAAACCACTTACGAAGCACAATATAAGGAGCTTGCTGGTAAATTGCAGGCCATAACATCAGAACTGGCTTTGGCAAAAAAAGCACTGGTCAAAGCAAACGAAAAGCATGCAAAGGATAAAGGGTGTCTCATGGAGACGGTCAAAAAATACGAAACTGATTTGATTAAAGCCAATCACCTGGTGAATGACACGATACAACAATCCGAGAAAACTCCCAACAACACCAAATTCGAGCATGACATCCAAATGGAGAGTCTAAAAACAAAGCTTCAAGCTGAATACAATGAATCATCGCTGAAATGTCAAAAGGAACGAGTGGTAGCTGAAATTGACCAATTCAAGAAAGATCACAGCGCAAAAGTGGCCGAAATGGAAAATCAAATGCAAACAGAAAAGCATGAATCGATCAAAAAGGTCCAATCATCCGTCAATCTTCGTCAAAATCTACTAAAACAGTACAACGATGCTCTGACTAGCTATCGCACGAAACATGCTGCCGACCTGAAGAAGCAACAGTCGCAATTTTCTATTCAGATTGCAAATTTGACCAAGATTTATTCCGAAAAGGAAGCGGACATGGAAGAGAAGGCTCAAGCGGCTATTGAAGCAAAGAATCGCATTGAAAAAGAGCTCGAAAACAAGTACAAGAATATTGTGGCCGGTGTTAAAGCCAACGCTGAATTGGAACGTTCGCAAATCGTTCAACAAGGTCTTACACGTTGCATGTGCTGCAAAAATCTACTCAAAGTCGAATCATTTTGCAATGAAAAATGCGCTCGAATGTGGTAAGGAATGGCATCTTATTATTAATTGAATTAATTTTGAAAATAATCGTATAAAGTGTATGATCGCGCTTACAAAAAGGATCACTTCGGTGATTGTTACTAGAATTGTAATTTGAAAGACTTGATTAAAACGCTAATTTCATCATTTTTCATCTATTCTGTATTTTCATAGGACATCTTGGGCGAAGAAGGACTCAAATCAGACAGATAAATGATTTGAAAAATTCATCAGACACATGATACCATCAGATCAGAAGTTACAACATAATACATACCACAAATAATCAATTCCAATCCCACATAAACTCAACGATAACCAGTCTTTTTATCACCAAAAATTAAAGTTAATTCAATTTTTTGCATGACAATTTAAAAAGTACAAATTTCTTAGTACAAAATTTACCATTGTATTTCCCTCAAACTTGAACGAATTTCCAATTTGCTGGGATTTATAAATTGTAATTTAAATTTCAATTTTCTTTTGAAGAAAAAATGTTTGATTCTCATTTCTTTAAAATGTGATGAAAAAAACACAAATAAATTGTAATTAAAAACATTTTTATTGAATAATGAACAAAATAAAAATATTCACAAGTTTTCCTGTAAAAATCCAGATAAAGAATTCATTCGATTGGTAAATCATATGAATCGTTAAAATATCTACCGTCATTTAAATATTGATGAACAATAAATCAAATTGAATTGAATATCTAACGGTCAAATTGACACTCTCCACTTGAGAGTAGTGTATGCTTCACAGACTTTGTATTGGAAAAATTAGAGTATGTTCTCAAGCGGTCAGCAAATCTCTAAAGAATTGTTTTTTCAACAAGTATAGGTTTATCGTCTTTTGCAAAGTTGTACAGTTTGAAAATATCAGCAATTTTTGCGAGGACACCATTTCGATGTTTTCTGTCATCAAAATCAAAATCGCCAAAAAACCACGAGTGAAACATTCTCTGCTTTATTATAATATAGGTAAAAAAAACATAAACTATTCTCAATCTCAACCATAGATATGACAGAGCCTTTGAACGGACTCGTTTGCAGTAAGCCATACTTGTTCCTCATATAAGATCGATTATGACAAGTGTTATTTATACTGATGTGTTTAACGTCAACAGGGTGCGGCAAGTTTTCATCGAAATTTTCCATTATCTTTATCTGAAGATACCACATTTTTGCATGGGCCAAGGTTATTTGTTGAAATATGGCAGACAAACGTGAACTTATCGATGCATCTAAAGTACACATCAAATATGTGCATTCGGTGAATTGGCAAACAAAAGAAACAATGACCAAAACCAAGAATGCTATGCTCGAATGGAAGACAAAACTCGAAGCAAAGCATCATCAAGCATTGATCAATCTGCAGCAAAAATTGGAAAGGGAATATAGCAACGCTCTCGCTCAGTTTCGCATGCAACATGTCATCGATTTGGAAAATGAAAAAGAGCAATTTTCCGCTCAGATTGACAGTTTGAAGAAGGAACTGTTCGAAAAGGTGGCCAACATGAAGAACGAGATGCAAGCGGTGATTGAAGCAAAGAATAACATTGAAGGAGAGCTCGAAAGCAAATACCAAAAGATTGTGGCTGGTATTAAAACCAAAGCCGAGCTAGATCGTACTCAGCTCATGGAACAGGGTAAAGGATCGACCAGATGCATGTGCTGCGGTGATGCACTAAAAGTGGAAGTGTTTTGCAATAAACGATGCCTTCAAATGTGGTAAGACGTTGCGAAGCAGTTTCAATATTATTTTATTCATTTTACATTGCCACGCAAGAGAATCGATAGATTAAAATATGTTGTTTGAAATAATGAGATTTTCATATTAGACTTTTTTGAACATTCCCACTACAAAGGAATGTTCCATTTTCGAATACTTACCAATGATTGTGTCATTGTAACGATTCATACGATTTTCCACTGAAATGAAATCTTTGTCTGGCTTTTTACAGGAAAACTTGGGAGAAGAATGACTAGAATGAGTCTGAAGAATGAAACCACAGCTTCAATTTGATGACCGCATCAAGATCAAAAGTTTTGACATTCGAATAAGGCTTTGAATGGAATCAATTTCAATTGTACTCGA